GTTCCCATGCGCGCGCGTCGCGTGGAAGAGAGAGAGAGAGAGAGAGAGAGAGAGGAAGAGCGGGAGATCTGGAGGAAGGTCGGCTACGCACGTACGCTGAATGAAATTTTCGGAAAGCATTAAACTTGCCTTGAGCTTGACTCCATTTTTAGATGCAGTTCTAAAAGGCATGCGCTAAAAATCGTCAGATCTATTGGCTGTATGACATTCTAATTAGGCAACATTAGCCGTTATTTACACAGGTTGAAAAGGCACTTGATTGAAGATTCACACAGTGACCGCTGGAAAAAAAAGAAGCAAAGTAGGATAGGCAGGGTCCGACACAGGGAGAGAAAGAAAGAAAAAAGAAAACGAAGAGGAGATGAGACGACAACAACACGGGGGATTTCCGTAAAGGCAATTGTGTGCTCGAGGCATGGGGCTCACTCTACACGAGAAAGGAAGACACCTGAGAAAGTGACCCTTGGTCAGGTAGCTGGCAAGTGAAACGAGGGGGGCGACAAAGCGTATAATGGCCCGTAGCAGATTATTGGCCGTTCGCACCTCTCTTTCTCACCCCGAAGGGTCAGTGACGCCGCTGTGGACACAATGACCAGGGACACGCAAACAAGCTACGTCTATTCGAGAGCGGGCAAAGGTAATGAAGGAAGCGCCGATAAACACGCGTCATTTGAATAAGACGCGCAAGCGCGCTCGCGCACGTGCCTAGGAGGGAAGCACATTGTTTTGAGATGCCCGCACGCGCCAAAGCATCTCTCTCTCTCTCTCTCTCTCTCTCTCTCGTTCTCGCTCTGGTGGCGTTTACCTTCAATTAGTTGCTGGGGGATGTGCTCGGATTTATGTATCCCTCTTAGTCCTTTATTAGCGAGGATTTACATATGACTTACGCACTGTTCGTCATTTCTGCTTGACCCTGTGTACTTTCTTTTGTCGAAGTACTGGCGATGAATAACTTGATTAAGATCGGGGCAATTGACGGTAATTTGATCAAATCGACTGATGGGTACCTGTAATAAAATCAGTGAGTGCAGCCGCAGGATATTGGTGCGTCTGGTAGGGTCGATGTAATTGAATGTCTGACGCATTAAGAATGCAAGCACAGTTTTCTGATGACTTACACGTTTACGTGTCTGGGCTTATTCCGCGTACACAAAAAATGAATGATCGAGGTACGTGCTCTCGATAATTTCGAGCAGCTTGTCTAGACAAGCAAATCACATTAAATCGTTATAACGAGGCTGCGAATCGAATCGGGAAGTCGTGCAATCTCGAGCGTTTATCAAGCCGTTTCATTATCGAGCGGCGTCAGCGCGACTGAGGGGCAGGATGCTCTCGTTCGTCGTCGCGATACACTCCAATTTTGCGGCTGGCAGCTAGCAGATTTAACCCCTTTTTAACGTCCCAATCGGCGCTCGCTGACACTCGTATTTCAGGGCCAAATTGCCCGAACTGCAAGATTGGACCAAAGATATACAGCTTCTCGGTCATTCGCTAACTGGGGACGATTCTTCTCTGCGCTCTGTTCTTTGGCGGCGCAGATCGAAAGATAGAAAAAGAGCGCCGTGTGTATGTGCTCCTGTTGAGCGATTTGATTTTTATGCCGCCGTAACGGCTATACGCGAGGCGCGCGCTTATAAACGGTGATCTATACGAGCGTATTACGAGATTTATACGGCCATGTAGACGACGCGCGTCCTAGTCGTCGTCGTATGAATCTGCCGACAATTATTGCTCGCGCGCTCTCGGCGATGGCTTCGCAACGCAATTCAAAGAGTGAGAATCGCTTTTAACACTGTAAATCATCGAGTCGCGTACGCACTGCGAGAGCCGTTAAATCTTAACGCGAGCTTCATCAATTATTAATGAACTATCAAAGTCGAACTTTCTCGCAGGGAGTTCCGATGAATTATTAATTCCACAGTGCACTCCTTTTATATTTTGCGTACGACAGGCTTAGAGAAGGAGAGAGAGAGAGAGAGAGATGGAAGCTTTAGGGAACGCGTAATCAGTGGCAAGCCTGTGGACGGCTCTGATCTTTTATGATGGACGTCAATCGAAAAGCTCATTATTTGCAGCTCAACACAAGCAGCCAAGGTCGGCGTCATCCTCGAATTATCAAACGAGGAAAACGCCACGAAAGTCGTGAGCACACGGCAATAAATGCGAGCGCTGAAAAAAAGCTGTGCTACTTTTGTTATCTCTACTGCCGCTGCCACCGCCGACGCCGACACAACGTACTGTATGAACATCCGCGACGAAAAAAAAAAAAAAAAAAAAAGAGCGCCCGCATAATCCCCACCTGCATTTTCGCTCGTTGATAAATATCTTGCCTTCTATGGCTCTGTTTTTTCAGCGGGCTCACTGCAAGTTTCTATTGCGAGATCGCTACTCGAGTAGAAATTCATTTTGTCTAGTTTAGTTTTGATTTATGCCCTTGGTGTGTTATTATTACCTTTAGGCAATATACATGAAACTCGGGAACGACAAGTAAATTTGTGATTTGGTTATAATACTTGGTCGGCTGCATTCCATTTAATTTTACGAGTAAATATCTGTAAAATTAGTAACCGTAGGTTCTAAATTTATTTTCATGCACAGGTTGTTTCTAATAAGATACGAATATTCTTGAGAATTCGTAAGAATAAATCAATATTGACTGTAGAGGTAAGTACCGTTGTCCCGATGCCATACGTGCATATCAGCGTCTAACAGGCGCGGGCGCGCGCGCGCAAGCAACGCGATACCAACAAATCTTCGGCACTCGAGCGTGTTAATTCCCAAACAAACGATCAACAGATAAATCAATCAGCGAGCACTCGAAGCCGTCAGTTCGAAAAAAGGAAAAAGAAATAACGAAGGCTCGTGCTGTTGTCGCGTAATTCAGTAGAGCTTGTCAACGGCTAGTCGGGCGCGAGTCAGTCGCGTGGCGCCACCTTGTCTGAGCAGAGCGAATCGTCGTGATTCAACCCTATCGCAGAGAGCGAGAGAGCGAGAGAAATCGCGGAGCAGCGTAAGCAGGGCGGCTCTCACTCTGTGCGTTTAATATAAGCTTATGCGCGCTCGCGAGTCTTCCGTTTTACTTCCCGTTTCCCAGCGGCAATTAACGCGGGCGCGATTTTCGCACGAGGCGTCCGGCTTTCTTTTTCAGGCTCGCGCCATCCAGCGAGATTGGGATCTTGCTTTCCGCGTTCCCGAGGAATTCAATGCCTCCTGCGTTTTTCTGCGGTTCGCTCAGGGCTATTATATGCCGAGCAGCCTCGATGCCAGTTGTTTTCGCCTGTCGCGCGAGCTGCTTTAACCATTTGTCGCATGCTGCCACTAGACTAATTATTTTTCTTTCGGCGCTTTGTCGACTTTCAGTCAAGTTTACTCATCTACGAGCTTTCTAAAGCTACGGCAATAATTCGACCTTCGCAGCGCGCCTTTTTCTGACTCATGCTCTGAAAAATTCGTGTCAAAATTTGATAAGCGGCTCGATCATTTTCTTCGAAATTACTTCAAGTCACACTACAAATAATAAAATCGTCCTCCTCGGGTATTATTGTAATTCTCAAACTTATCGCAATGTTAGCTTTATTTTTCACTCGAAATTTCCAATCAACTCATGAAAAGAATAATATGGTGTCACGAAGTAGTCAGGAGGAATATATGGGTTCATTCCATTTCATAACTTTGTCCAAGTCGTCCAAGTCCAGCAAAAACAAATTTTAAACAAATAGTAGCGAGCACGTTGACCATAAAAATATCTCCCACAGGCGCTCGAATTTCATCTCGTTTCAGTGGACTGACTTCTACGAATGGTCGATCCGCCTCCCGCACTTCCAAAAACTAGCCGCTCATTAAAAGGAAGGGACAAAATACACGGAGCACTCGAATTTCCACCCACCAACCACACGGGGCTACTCACTCAATAAAAGCCACATCCATCAAGTCATCAACTCGAGTTCATACTGGTTGCTTAGATTTTTTGCTCGTCCGCGTGGCCGATTGAATAATGATTTTTTGTTAGCGAAGCTCGCGTGTCCGTCGCGTCTCGGTTACCTGGGCGCGTGTCGCGATCAAAGGGGGTCGGCACGCGCCTAATCTAAGGAATCAAATCGTCGTCGGCTTTTTTCTCTTCTTCTTTTTGCCGCGAAGGGAGAGGAGACACTGCGAAGGGCATACCCGACGGCTCGGCTCGGAGAAGCAGATAGAGGAGGAGCTGCTGCTGCTGCTGCTGCTGCTGCTCTCTCGAGCCCATATGCGGCGCACGTGCTGCAAAGCGCACTTTTGTTTGCCAAATAGCCAGAGACGAGAGAGAGTCCGGTATCCCGGTCCAACGCCAGAACTATCGAACACTTTGCGGTGAGCCGTCGCGCTGCGCTGTCCGTCGAATTTGTATTGGCCAGATAAGGCGGCGTTTCCTGGCTTGCATAGCGAGGTGTCGACGCGTCACCGCCGACGAATTACGGAAAAAAGACGGATTTAGAAATATTCCGTTCACTTGATTTGTACATCGGGAAATTTGAAGCGACAAAGCTTGCAGTGCAAAATCGAAGCGCGAGATTGGCAAACTTCGAAGAAATCTTCCATGCGTTGTTGCTACATCGGTATTTCCAGCGCGGCTCCAAAAATAGGCACGATGACAGCGGACAATGCACTTTACTCCCCCGAATAAACCGGAGAAAAAGATCCGCACTGAGAGCGCCGTCGATCGGGCCGCTCGTTCGGCACAATAGCGAGTCGCCTGCAGTCGCGTCGACGTCATCGCGCAAACTAAAGAATATCTGGCGCGGCGGTAATTAAGAAAGAGAGCCGGCGAAGGGAGTTGGAAAAGCTCGGGCTTGAAAAACGCGCGCATGACAATGCCGCCCCTCCGCGCTCTCCGCCGATAGTAGAGCCCCTTTAAGACGGCGCGCGGCTGGCAGTGGGGGCGTCTAGGGGGGCTAATTAAAAATTCCGCCGGCTGCGTGCCGCGAGCACGCGGTCGCCGCTCGGCGCAGAGGACGGCGCGAACTCACCTTGGGCAATCCGCACGGCTGGCATTTTGATCCTCATGGTGCCGGCTGCTCGCGAGACCTCGTCGCCGCCTTCCAACGAGAAAAAGAAAAAAACCAAACGAACAGCAGTCCCGACAGCGCCGGCAGCAGCAGCAGCAGCAGCAACGACGAGCTATCAGTCACTCATGCCCGTCTGCGCTTCATTGTCACTGGCTGCGCCGAGAACTCGAGAAGTGAACCAAAGTGTCCGCAAGCACTGCGATCGCGACACAACAACAACAAATGAGAAGCACAGAAACGCTGGCACTGGGCTGTGCGCGGCTGCTGGTCAGAACTCGTCGTCCGTATCCATTCGAGAGATAGTCCTGAAAGCTCGTAGCGAGCGCGTGCAGCCAAGGTACGAGCGAGCAGTGCAGAGATGCGGTAGGTCCAGCGTGGGCCGTATCTCGGAGTGGACTGCGGCGGCCGGACGCGGGCGCGAGCGCCGTGTGACTGGCTCGCTGTCTCTCTCTCTCTCTCTCTCTCGGTCTCTCCTTCTCCGCTGCTCTGGCTGGCTGGCTGGCTGGCTGGCTGGCTGGCTGGCTGGCTGGCTGGCTGGCTGCTCGCAGCGCCGGACGGACGTACCCCACGCGCGCGCCGCTCGACGCCGCTCTCTCTCTCTCTCGCTCTCGCTCGCGCTCGCTCCGCAGCGCAGCGCCAGCAGCCGGGTAGTTTTCACCCCTCGCACGCCAACCGACACGCAGTCCGGAGTGGGGGCCGCCCCTTGAGCTCCGAGCTGGCTTGCCCTTCCTTCCTCCTCCCGCGCGGCCGACCTAGTGGGGGCACGACGGAGCGACGTCGCCGTCGACGTCGCAGCGCATGCGGTCACTTAGCTATTTCGACTTAATCTTTCATGCGACTCCGACGTCTCGCCGCCGCGCACCTATTCTTTCCCCGGTTGCAGCCGCTCGCCGCGAGCGAGTAATTGACCGGGCGCCATCGCGCTCGTCGTAGCGAGTTAATTGATGCGCCGCTGGCGCGGCGACGAGCTCTCGCCGACGACCACGGCGGAGCTTATCTGCGCGATACGCGCGCGAATGCGAAAAAGTCTCTGGAAGCCAGCTGCCAGAGGCGAGCGCGCCGCGACTATTTTCGTCGCCTGATGAGAGACCAGCTCTCTTTCGAGTGGTCCTCTCCAGTCGCCAGCGACTCGCGTGCCCTGTAATTTTCGCCGCACTGGCCAGACGAAATCAAAAGGAAAAAACATAAGAGAGGTGGTCGCCGATTTTCCCAGGCTCCCTCGCCAGAACCCAGGGCCGTCTGGCTAATATCTTTCACGCCCGATCTTGAAAATTCTCTCCGGGCTGCGTCTGACCACTCTGCGGCTGTAAAACTTTGGAGTGCGCGTGTGTGCGCGCGCGCGCGCGTGGAGGGGCGGGCTCCGACTGTCTGGAGTTGCCCGCTTTTGGATGTCACACTAGCCTCGTCGGCAAGCGAGCTCTACGATAGAGCACTTTTGTGCAAGTCAATAAGATAAGAGCAGCTGATTAATCGCGCCCGTCGTGTTTGTTCCTTCCAATTCTACCGGCCGCGCGAGCTTTTCCACTGCACTGCTCAAGTCTGATTGCTGCGCGCGACGCTTGGCGTTACAGATTTTTCAAAGTTCGCTTCTGCATATCGCTCGCGGAGAGAAAAATAAACAGGTAGCTTATCTTACCGCAAAAATATCGCTTACGTCCAACGCGTTAGCATTACCTGTGGAATATTTGAAGCCAGTGGTGCGCAACGTACAATAATTTTTTTAGGAACCTTGCGCGCGCATCTGATCAAACAGGCTGGTCAACGGATCACGGAGCTCGGTTCGAGCATCAGCTCGATAAAAATATTTCTCGACTGCGCGATAAAAGCGTGAGTGAGAAGCTGATCGGTATTCTCTGCACAGTCGCGAGTTGAAACTTTTGTCGGTCAGCCCTCGCGATGGAATGAGTTTAACAACACAAGGCTCCCTCGCAACTTGGCACTTGCCACAAAGGAAAACTTTTCTGCCGGAGGAGAGCAAACAGTTGCGTAAATTTTTCACGAGCGACACATGTCTTTTATCAGTTAGCTCGTGTATCCGAAAAACGAATTTCGATTCGGTTAATTTGGAGCGCGACGCTCGCGACCCACATGAGGCGCGCACGTGTGTGGAGAGGGGAAGCGAGTTGCTACTCGTCGTCGTCGTCGTCGTCGTCGTCGCCGCCGTCGTCGTCGGCATCGGCGACGCCGTCGTAATGGTAAAAACACGGAAAAGAAAGGATCGCGAGAGCAAGAGGAGAGAATGGTGTTGCGCGCGGCTCTTTCAATGGATCCTCGAACGCGGCGACAATTCAGTTAAGCGACCAGATAGATATCTCTGAGGCATCTTCACTTTCCTGGCCATTACGCTTGCCGCCGCCGCTGCCGTCGCCGCCGCCGCCGCTGCGGCGAGAAAGCGGAGGTGGATTAAGAGCAGATTCCTATCTCCTTCTCTCACACGTAGTAGAGTAGCGCACGCTCTTGCGCTAATTCCAGACGTGGAGCCGTTAGATCGCGCATTCAGGGGCTAAAAAAAAGGAACGAGAAGACGCGATATAGTCCAACGAAGCGCGTGGCCGCGGCGTCAGCATCCTGTTCGTCGTCTCCGCGTAGCCGCCGTCGTCGCCGCGCGGGGTTTTAAAGATTATTTTTACGCCGCGGCCACGGCGAGAGAGAGAGAGAGAGAAAAAACGTCTCTGGCGACAGTACCGCGGCAGCAGCACATGTGCCACAGTGCGAGTGCGTCCGGCGTTATGCTCGAGGCCTCCTCCTCCCCCTTCGATATTTACGAGGTTTTTTTTCTAAATTTACCTCTTTTTAGGAGAGCACGATTTTTCACCGAGCGCCAACGCGCGGCTCTCATTAAATTGCTCGCTCGCGAGAGCTTTTTCAGCGCTTCTATAATTGATGGACGCGATGCTTGACGTTGTTTTAGTATACGCACAAAGGCAACAGGCTCCTCTGCTTCTTCTTACGAGCACTTGGGAACGCTCCGAATACGTAGGGGATTCAATTTTTTCAGCCGCTCAAACGTCCCCGGCAGAGTTTGGAAAATTTCTAGACATTTGTTAGCCGAGAGTCAATGATTTGTTGGAAAAATTGATAATAATACAAAGTAATTGCGCCAACTTTGGTATGATATTTGTCAAGAGTTACAGTCGAAAGTGGTCACAAGTCAACGCTAATAATTATAACCGCATCAAGAAAAGTGGTAAAGAAAGGCACAGCACGTTTGAGAGAAACAATTAATTATTCATCCTCACGCGTGCAGTTGTTTTCTGGGTAGTCCTAAATCATAGCCATAAAGTCCGCTCGCCAGTTGGCAGAGAGTATAAGCGAGCGAGGAGGAGTGAAGCGGCGAGGAGGGAAGACGGCGACGGGCGACGAAGGAAGAAAAAGAGTCGGAGACGCGAGCGCGACTGCAGGCGGATGACGAAAAAAGTGCGTTGGCCATCGCACGTCCGCCCAACGTGCAGCAGCAGCAGCAGCAGCAGCCGCAGTCGTAGCGGCAGCACTCGTACCAAAAATATACACATGTGGAGACCCCTTGCCAAGGGTGTTGTTCTTCCAGATTTTTCGTCCTTCCTTCACTCGCTCGACGGTACAAGGGTTACCATGCCGCTGATGGATTTACGCTTCCTCTCTTTCTGTCTGTCTCTCTCTCTCTCTCTCTCTCTCTCTCTCTCTCGCTCGCGCGCGCCCCACTCGCATGCTTTTATTGTATGTTAATTTCTCGCGCGCGTATCAGGTGCATCTGGAAAAACTGTCACGGGCTCTCGTGGAATATCAATTGCTGCCGAGGCTTTTTCTCGAAAGTGAGATGTCGCCGGAGATATCGTTCGGAAAAAGAGATTCTGGACCGATCTGCTTTCCTTTTACGTCCTGCATGAGTCCGTTGTTTTTTTAATCGGCTCTGTTTGTTGTTTGTGATTTGAATATTAGGACTTTTGATCCATATTTGCATAGCCGCGGGATATAATTGAATTAACGGTTCTTTCAAAACCCCGACATGCTACGAATCTCGTCCTTTCATTCTCTCTTTGGAGTTTCGAGAATGCCCAGTCATCAGTCGCGCGGCATCAACCTTCGTAACGAGTGGCCGTTGAACTATCATAAATTCTGGATTTTTGTCAAGAAACCGTGTAAGAGCGCCAAACGCGTCCACTGCCTCGTCGCGGCGGTGATTTTTTCATCAGTGAGAACCTCAAAAAAACGAAATTTCCAGCCAGTAAAATGGCGTGGGGTGGCATCGATTGGTAAAAAAGCAGACATGCCGATAGTGTGCCGGCTCGTCAGTGGCAGGCGCGCGCACAAGTGCATGTATCGGCTTTTGTAGAGCAGACCGCGCTGTATCTGTCCAATCAGAGCTAGGAGAGGCCTCTGCTTTTTTCCCATGTCCATTTTTGCATAAAAAAATTCTCACCGTCATACTTTCGCACGGCTTCCCCTTTTCCCCCACACGAGCGCGCGTCCACGCACACACACACGCACATAGCCGGCGCATCATAGGAAAAGGTGCATTAACTAGCGGAAAGGATGAGGAAAAAAACCCGCGCACGTGTATTCCCCCCGGGGCGCTACGCGCACACGTACGCACGCACACGCATGCGAGCTAGGTGCATTCCTTTAATTTCTCTCTCTTTCTCTTCTCGCTTGGGCTCGTTTTTAGCTCGGCGCGGCTCACCCTTCAGCTTGTTTTTTTTGGCGGCCGCTGTCGCTGCTCTATCGAAGCGGGGTGCGTTGCGCGCACCTATGCATCGGAAGGAAATTGGGAGCGGGGATAACGCTGTAGCGGCGGCACAGTGGGGGATACACCTCGACGGGGCAGGGGGGAGGGGTACGGCACGCCGACCGAAAAAAACAGCCTTGCGGTACACGCGCGCGTACGCGCACACCCCGAGCAGCCGAGCAGTGCCACGGATTCTCCGTCGCGGCCGACTGCCGGATGAAAAAAAATCAACGACGTGGAGGCAGCAGCTCGCGAGCGAGAAATAAAAAAAAACGTGAATTACTGCTAGCCGCGCGCGATCACGCTGCGGAGACCGAACGAGAGAGTGAAAAATCCTCCGACCTCGAAAAGCATTGAGGGGGATGCAATGCTACGCGCGCCTACTCGACTTTTTCCCCCAAATTTCTCCCAAGTTTTTTAAGGGCGCGACTACTAAAAAAGGACGCGTGAGAACCGTCCTGTTTCCGCGAGACGTGAGATTTTTATTTCCGCAATCCTCCACCCGTCTCTCTCTCTCTCTCTCTCTCTCTCTCTCTCTCTCTCTCTATCTCATTCTTTACGTCTACGTGAGCACTGTTTTTTCGCTTTTCACGCGTTTCTGTACTTCGGGGGTTTTTAAGCTCCTGGCTTGAATCATTTAGGCCCTACTTTCTCACCGGCTCATGACTGATTGTTGATCTAACGGTTTATCTATCCAATTCTCAAGGACTCCCTTTTCATTCTTTGCTTCCTTTTT